TTTTTATATTTAAAATGAGATGTTTATATTGTATTTGATTATGCTTATCTGCAGTTAGTTACACGAATTTAGATATGAAGCTTTAATAAATTGTACTTACGCACAATCTACTTGCAATCTTGAGTTTTAAGTAATATGCATTAATAAACAGTATTTTACACATAAAAAATAATTTTTATCAAATGTTTTATAATATAGTATAGATAGAATAATAAAAGTAAATGAGCAATTAAATGCAAAGTATGCCGTTGCGAGTGCCAGGGTCTCAGTAAAATAACAATAATAAAAAATAAGTTGAATTGGAGATTTTTGGAATTATAAAAAATTAAAACGCCGTTGCCGGGGATCGAACCCGGGTCACCCGCGTGACAGGCGGGAATACTTACCACTATACTACAACGACCTTTTTGTTTTATTATCGTATTTTTAATCCTATATAATATATATATATATATATGTATATATATTAGTAGACGGCCAAACATTAAAACGATTCCCATTACAGGTCAAGCAAGTAAAAAACAAAATTGCAAGCCTGTTCTTGCACTTTCCTCCTAATCAAGATCTCATATATTTTTTTATTTTCATTATTTAAATTATATTATAATCTTACCAATAAGAATACGTTTGGATCGTATTATACGCTAAGAAAATAACTTTTAGAACGAAATTGTCGTTGTCAGATTTATACAATCTTTATGTTGGATACATCGCAAAAAGCACAACTTGTTCATGGAATCATGGCCATTTCATTCAAACGAGGACTAGTTGATTCAGCAACTTCTAATCCTTATCTATCAAGTATTTTTCTCCGTCGTGTTTTTATTTAGGCTTTTTGTCATAATACAGTGAAATTAGTTATATCTCCCCAGAGGGGCGAACCTATAGGCCCTTGTGGGGTCCCTTGCACCCGCTCAACTAATTTTCGTAAAAATAATTTTTTGGTGTATGGAAGGCACACAAGACTAAAGTTCGAGTGTGCTCTAAGATATTAGAAAATACAAGTGACATCAATTAAAAAACCAAACAACCCTTCAGTTTTTTAGGCTTAGGATTAAATGAGAGTTTTAAAAATGTAAAAATATGAAATTTGGTGTTGATATTGTATAGAAATGATTCAGATCATCTTTTCACATAGCGGCCATTAAAGAATATCCTATTAGGGGCTGTCTGCAAATTGCTGAATGATTTTGTTCAAAATGATTAAGTGATAAGAAAAATTACGAAGCTCTCATGATATAGTGTAAAATGAAATATAATTGTTTGGTAATTGTTTACACTAAAATTAGAGCACTGAATGGTTAAGAGAGACACATGATACAAAATCAATCAGAGAGTTGCAGATTATTTTTTGCCAAACAAGATTCATTTCTTAACGATTCAAAAACCGAGGTAAAGCAAACGATACAATGATGACATTGTTTTAAATTCAAAAAGCAATCACCTTTTAAATGGGGACAAGAAGCACTTTCTCGTAATTAATTCTTCAAAAAAGTGGGTCATATATATCATAGATTGCACCATGTTTCACCAACATCATTTCAAAATAAGCTCATACTCAAAAAATGAAGCACAAAATCTAATAAATATCCTCCATTGCTGCTTACAAAAATAACTCCAAAACAAATATAAATAAATTCGATCTCCGTCTACCGTAGTCGGTCTAATAAATCTCTTCGCATAAGCGAAAAATCACTAGCAATCAGCAACTATAGGTTTCACTTGGCATTGCCATTGGGGAGTGGGGCAGATGGGTTGAGCTCATCCCAAGCTTCAATCCAAGTGAGCATGGCGTCCGAAAGCTTAATGAAGTATTCATCAACCTTTCCGAGCTTAGCCTTGACCTGCTTCGATAGTTCCTTGTAGCAGCTCTGAACCGTGGTGCACTCTTTCGGCAGGGTAGCGGCTTGGAAGAATGGGATCAACTCCTCCTGCCAGTAGATACCTTTGTACTCCTTTTTCAGGTTCACAAATGGATTGCTAGCCTTGCTGTGCCAAATGTATGGCAGACCGGTCTTCACACCCAACCCCAAGTGGTCGCAGATCACCTAAATTAACCAAAAATGTAAGCCATCGATGCAAAGTGCAACTAGATACCAAAAGGAAATGGAGGTTTGGTGGTTTTACCTTCATGCACCAGCCAGCCCACATGTCGTCGTAGCGACCAATTGGCTGACCGTCACCCATAAGGCCGAAGTACATTGCTGGGCCGATGAGCTCACGGTCAAAAGCAAGATTCATTCCACACATAGGGAAGAGGGTTCCTTTTGGTATGGTCAAAACTGCATCTACAAACCTGATCAAAAATGGCAGAAAAGATTAGGAAAAAAGCGATCTTGGTCCACCAAGAAAAGGAAAGACATCAAGATTAGGCTGGTTTTCGTACCTAGTGTTCCTTTCGCGAGGTTTGACAAGCTGAGTGGGTGCATCGTAATCGGGGATATTGAGCCAGAGACCATGGGAAACGGCGGTTGGCACACCTTCACGGAGGCTAAATGGGTAACCACGGACGAAATCGGTGCCTTCCCTGTATGGATCGTAAAGGGTGTTGAAGAAAAATGGAGTTGATGGAGTGAGGAGGTTCTTGATGTGTTGTTCAAGGGCATTGATATCGTTGCCAGATGGATCTTTAGCAACCTTTTAAATCAACAATAAAATGCAGATTATAAACCAAATCTAGCACCCATTGCTTACATAACCATATGAAACAGAAGGCAAATTATCAAACAGTTGGTGTGCATGATTTAACAAATCAACCATGTATTCTTTCTCATGCCCAAATTTTGGAATTAAAAAGGTAGCAAAATGGGAGATCTAACAAGTATTTCAATTTCAGATGCATGCATACATTGCTCAAAAAGCACCCAATGAAGATCCATTCTCGAAGGAATAGATCTCAAAGCTATTATCTTTACAGGGTCAACGTCTACATACCCACAAATATTATTACAAGTGTTTGTGAACACGGATTTCATGTCATAATCAAGGGTCTTCTCTTTCTCTCTGAATAACAATAATTTATATGAACAGCATTTTAGAAATGAAAAAGCCAGATCCAAGACAAGAACACCATCAAACCTAGTCAAAACCCTAGATCGGTGGAAATTTTGATGGAAACCATAAAAATCAAATAGCAATGAAGTTAAATTCGATGTGAACCCAGAATTTCGGTACAATTCCCCCAAATTATACAACCTCAAACACAAACAAAAGAAGTGAACCATTTCGATCTTAAACACAAAACCAATTAGAAATTCACAACCTTATCCGAAACTAAACACATGGGAATCATCAAGGCAATAAGAGAGAAACTTACAAAGCAATCGTCATCAATGGTGAAGATGTATTTCTTCTTAGAGACCATGTAACCGAAGCAACGACAAGCAGAATCCTTGAAGGAGATACAAGAAGCTTTAGGACCAAGGATTCTGTTGATATCGTTACGGTTGTAGAGTTCATAATCGAAGCCTTTGGGAACTTTGATGACCTTCGAAGGGTCACCATCTTGTACGATGATTAGATGGTAAGGTTGGAAGAATGGCCTCCACATCTCAAGGAAATCTAGGTTTCGAATGGTGGGTATGACGATATCGAGTTCATCTTTCAAAACAGGCGTTGGGGAAGCCATTGTTGTTGAAAGAGAATGGATGATGGAATAGGTTTTGTGTGAGTAAAAGCAGACGGTAGAGGAGGGTATAAATAAGGGAGATCGGAAGGAGACAGGGTTTGGACTTGGATGAAAAAGAAAAGAAAATCCAGGGGCTAAAAATGACAAAAATGGAAATTAGAGTGTTGATAAGTATAATCGTTGAATAGTATGAGTTTGAAAGACTTGGAAACATGTTCTCTTATTTTTTTTAATATTTATTATTAATTAAATATTTTATTTCATTTTCTCTTTATGGTTACTATTTGACAAAGGATGTCATGATAATAATAGAATAGGACAGGGATTTATATCTCATATTTGACATGATTTTTATGTGAAATAGAGTGGAACAAAAATGAACAGGTTTGTTCCACCCCTAACCCATAGAACAGGGTGGAACAAACTTATATTATATCAATATAACATCAAAATAAAACTTAATTCTTTTCTAAAACATCAAATATGTCTTTTTTACATTTTATTCATTCTTTAAATTTTATTTATTGTATTTTATGTTTCTTAAACTTTCATTTTATTGTCTTTAAAATAATATTTTTATACGGTTTTTATATTTTTATTAATTTATTATACATTAATAATAAAAAATAATGTAGAAAAGAGATAAAAATAAAAATTGGAAGCTACATAAACTTTTCATTTGGTGTCATTTTAATTGTTTTGACGAAAACTTCAAATGATATATTTTGTTAAAAATTAATTATTCTATTATAATTTAATAAATTACATAAATTAATTAAAATAAACAAGTCATCAGGGGTAAATTGGTTATTTCACTTGTTCTGTACTGTCCAGTTTTATCTTACCAAATATTAAACAGTTGTTCTATCTTGTCCTGTTATGTCATGTCCCATTCTGTACTGTCATGTCTTGTCTTGACACCAAACACACTCTTAAGTAGGGGTGAGCAGCGGAACCGGGTACTCGGCTATAGAACCGGAACCGCCTTGGAACCGCCGGTTCCAGAACCGGAACCGATATAAGTGGTTCAGGTTCCTAAAATACGGAACCGATTGAGAATGGTTCCGGTTCCGGTTCTCAATTTTTCGGAACCGTTACCCGCCGGATACCCGGTATTTTTCAATAAAAAAATAATAATTATTTTTAATACCAAATTTATATTAGGTTTACATCTTAAAAGCACGTTGCATCTTCAATCTTCATCTAAATTATTCATATAAAATGATTCGTATTTTTTCAAATTGTGTGTTCACTTGGATTCATAGTATGTAATCGTTAAACTTTGAACAATTACCATTATAATATGTAATCGTTAAACTTTGAACATTTTCTATTAGTCTATTATGGTTTGTAATCGTTAATCAATATTTGTAACCATTATTCTGTATAATTTGTATTMTTRCTTATTTATTTAGTGTTTTGGCAATGTTTTATTTTTTATTTCTAAATAACAAAATTTTAATATTTTAGGAAGCGGGTACCCGGAACCGGAACCGGTTCCCGGCGGTTCCGGTTCCGGTTCCAAAAATTTAAGAACCGTTCTAACCGGTTCCGGTTCCAATATCTCAAGAACCGCCGGTTCCGGTTCCCGTTCTTATCAAAAAGGACGGGTACCCGCTTATGCTCACCCCTACTCTTAAGGTGATAAGAGTAATAAGAGATTTAAATATATGATTACTTTTAATCTCATCCCATCCTATGAATTGTTCTTCTCAGGAAATTGATTCGGTACATCTTATTAGTGTTGATCTTCAATTACGATTGATCAAAAGATACAGATTATTTCTTATCCTTCTCATCGTAACTTTCATTCTCAGAAAAATCCAACCTGATAGAAATTTTATAATTAAATAACACTTAAAATGCATTTGATAAGGGCATTTTGAAGTCAAATCCAACGACTCATTTTTATAGGCATGTATCCACTACATTTTGTGGCTCCACATCCACTCTTAATTTATTACTGATTTATGCTCAATATTTTATATATGTTGTAATTTTTAAATATAAGTTCTCATTTGGATTATGAAATTAGATTTGGATTATGAAATTAGATTTGGAGGGATTTAAAATCAAATTTCATTCAAATCCCATGTTTGATTTGAAAGATTACTGAATTTGAAATCCCACATGAACAGGTTGGTATTTCATGTGATTTTGTTGGATTTGTATGTAATGCTACTTTAGAATGTATTAAAAACATTTGTTTTGTAATACTCAATTAATAAAAAGGTGATTTAATTATTTTTATTTAATTTATTTTTATAAATTATTTATGAAGAATGAAATTCAATTCCATTTCAAATCCTATAAACTAAATACACCAAATATTTCAAATCTTTCCAAATCAAAATCGCTTTAATTCCACATTCTTCCATGGAATTCAAAACCCTCAAAGTCATTCCACCAAACCAAACACTAAAATTTTACTCAAAAATATTATAAGATAACACATATACACATACACACACACACACACACATATATATATATATATAGAGAGAGAGAGAGAGAGGGAGAGAGAGCGTGCGCGCACGCTTAGTTCAAATGTTAACTTAAATTATTGTGTGAACTTTATGAACCTTTTCAACAAATCACAATTCATCTTAGTATTAGGTTCTACTTTATCTAAGAATTTAATGTCAATGGTATATGAGTATTTTTTTTTGTAACTCTTATATCATTAATTGAAGTTACAAGATCCATAAAATCCCATGACTTTTGCATTTTTAATATTGGTCTTGTAATTTTTTTCATTTTTTAGTACTGATCTTCTATTTTTAATATTTATAAATTTGTGATTATTGGAGGAGATCCGCTAATAAAGTGTTTGTTATTGTTCAAACAATTATGGATAAAGACATTGGAAAATAACACGACAACATTGAGAAGGCTAAAATTGTTTATGGTGACAGTCGAAGTTCGAGATCGAGAAGTGAAGTAAATAATCAAAGTGAGTGTCTTGGTAATTATGAACACAAATTGACATGTATACATCCATATGAAACACAAATTGACATATATGAACATTTGTGCACTTATAAATACAAATTGAACATATATGTGAACATTTGTGACAATTATGAACACAAATTGAACATATACGATTTTTACTGTTTGTAACCGATGATATTGATTGCACATTCTCTTTTATATAAATACCCTTTACTATGTTCACATATGTTTGTGAGATTATAAAGGTAATAAATTAATTTTATAATATGATTAATCTCAACCGTATATTTTAAAAATCAATGGCAATGATTAGTTCATAAAACTAACACAATAATTTGGGTTAACAAATAAACTTGTCCCCCCCCCCCCCC